ATAGAATAGAACTGGTAATTGTAGGATTTTTTTGTTTTTGTTTTTTAACACTCACCACACTGTTTTCTGTAGGAACTGTAATATTCTACACTAATGTAATGGACACAGTTTTAATTTTTCCACATTCTGGAAAGACTTTTATTTTTATTAATTTACCTATTTTATTTTTGAGACAGAGTCTCACTGTGCAGCCCCCACTCTCTCGGAACACACTATGTAGACCAGGTTGCCCTGAAATGCAGAGATTTGCGCATGACTTTCTCCCGAGTGCTAGGATTAAAAACCTGTGTCATCTGTAGTATTGACTTGCATTTTCCTAATGACTGGTGATGTTAAGTACTTTCTCGTGTGCTTTCGGCCATTTCTAAACACACAGACATGTTAAGTCTTTATTCCCATTTTCAAGATTAGATTGCTTTCGTTGAGTTTTAAATACACCCTTACACATTCTAGATGTGAATTTTTATCAGGTACCTGGCTTTCAAGTTTTTCCCTGTTCTGAGGGCTACATGAGGTGATTGGCAGTGTCTTTTGGTGTTCTCTTTTCTACCCAAAGTGACAGCACTTTTTTCATGATGATTTATTGAAATTAAGGCAAACACAGAATAAGAAAAATATATGTGGGAGTTAGGCTGTACTATGCCTGGTTTCTGTTGACAACCACCTGGAGCTGGGCTCTGTGGAGAGTTGCTTGCAGACAAAACAGGTAGCCTCAGCTTTCTCCTGAGACACAACAGCAAGGTCAGCCTTGCCAGCCAGCACTAGGCAGTGCTGACAGTTGGAGGCTATTCTGGGACCCAGAAGACTTTGTTTTGTAAGGCCCTGTGCTCCCAGATTAACTCTGGCTTTGGTTTACCCCCAGCCACTCTAGCCTGGGATACAGAGAGCAATGTTAGCTACAGTAGAAAGAGCACAGTATCCATATTATTGATAAAAGAAGTAGTTTTCCTTGCAAAGAGCTTGTCTATACTGCATGCTGATTGTGAAAACCTGTATTTACCAAGTAGTTTTTAGAATTGTTAGTTCTTTTGGACCAAGAATTAAGTACATACCTCTATTTCAGAGCTTAAAACAAATCTTTACTCTAGTAACATTCTAGTGTGTCTTTAGGAATACAAGCTAAGAGGAAACACACTTAAACCATAGTGGAAGATATTTGAGTTAAAGGCAAAGAAGTTTCCCCATTGTTGTCGAAGTTAACACCCAAAGATTAACTTCCTTCCCAAGGAAAGGAATGAGTTCTTGTCTGGAGAACTGAGTATAGCTCTGGGCAGAGGCATGGGCTGAGTTTTGCAGATGGGTGAATCTGCTCATGGACCATGCTGCATGAGTCAGCAGCGCATCTGCAGATGGAGTGGGCAGAGGACATCTAAATTTAGTCCTTATTCACTGGAGAAGATTTCAGGGAGCATCCCGCCTCTCTCTCATCCATGCTGTAGTCATATCCTCCTGGAACCAAGGCAGGTGGGTGGAGGAGAGGCAGGGCAGTCAGAGGTCTCAGACAGCAGAGTCCTGTGGCTCTGTTACCTTGTACCACTGACTAGGATACTTCTTTCCAGGTCAGTCATGGAACATACTATTTTGTTTCGTGTAACTCCTGGATTTAGGAATCCACAGTACTCTAAAAATTAGGGAATTTTCTGAACTTAGATATCCAAATTCCTAAATATGGCTAGTCCAGAGACATTTTGAATCAAATTACTTTTCTCCCATAAGTACTGTCCAGGACCGTGGTGAGTGAGGATTAAATACATTTGGTGTGTGTGGCTGTTAAAAATACTGGCTTAAAAACAATGCCAGGAACTGTTCCCAACTCCCTGAGGTGGGTAGATTCCCAGTACTGTGGATGAGTACACTGATACTTTGGTTAGGCATCCCTGTTCAAGGCTATGTGCATTGGCAGAATCCTGCAGTCTATCTGACTGCAAAAGCTGCTGCTTTAACAATTTGTCCTTCACTTTGTAGAGGTAATGGAGAATGGTTTGCAGAGTTGGAGTACTTTATTTTATCCAAAGTAATTCAGAGATCTTCTTCTGCCTAATCTCCACCCCCCTCTTTCAGTATCTGCACTCAAATGGTTGTAGCATTTTTATATAAGAGGAAAATTGAGTATCTATATCACATAGATATAGACTTGGGAACAGAAAGGGTATTTTAATAGACCATTCAGTCACTTATGGGAGTTGTTCTTAGATGGTATATAAAAACTCCAGTAGTGGTAATTTTTGTTTTTTGCTTTTTTTGTGGTGGTTCTCATGTTATCTTAAGTTATCCTTGAATTTGCTTCGCAGTAAAAGTTGATGAACTCCTAATCTTCCTGCTTCTACCTCCCACATGCTGGGATTACAGATGTGCACCACTGCATGGTTTATGAGATGCTGGGGATTGATCCCAGGGCTTTGTGCATGCTAGGCAAACACTCTACCAATTGAACTACATCTCCAACCTTGTTAGTTTGTTAAATGTTAATTGGAAATATAGACAGAAATTATGTCAATGCATGATCTTACTCTGTCACATTAAAATCCATTAATCAGGTGGGTGTGGTGGCACACACCTTTAAACCCAGCACTTTGGATCACACAGAGCCATCTCTGAGTTCAAGGCCAGCCAGGGCTAAATAATGAGGTCCTGTCTACAAAACAAAGCAACAGCAAAATGCATTAGTATAACTTGTTCTTTGAATTAATCTTTTACTGATGCCTGATTTCCCAATACTATGTATTTAATCTTTGAAAAACACAGGTTCATTGATTTATGTAAATCTTCCATATATAGACACACTTCTTATATAATACCGATTGATCATACTTGCAGATCATCCCAGTGTAAGTATCAGAACAGTATCAGGAAACTGTTACAGTTTGCTTCCCAAAATTTCATTTTTTATTTGCACGGTCAAATTTTATCATAACAACAAAAACTCATTTTTTCTTTGAGACTTATTTTGTTCATTTTGGTGTCTGAATAACAAATACTTTTTTGTCAGTTACTCTTTTCAATACAAATAGTATTCTGTGAAAAAATGGCTAGTTGATGTTGTAACCCTGCACAAGTACTTTTCCTAGAAACAACCATCATAATTCAGAAGCCACAGTAGGGCTTCAAGTATGCTTTCCATTTTGTCACACAGAAAATTAAAAACACTTATCCTCAAATACTCGATTTTAATTGTTAATAATATTTTTGAATGACTTATTTTTATTTTGTATGTATGGGTGTGTTGCCTGTATGCATGTCTGTGCACCATAAGCATGTGGTGCCAGAAGAGGACATTAGATTCACTAGAACTGGAGTTGCAGATGGTTATTAGCTGCCAAGTGGGAGCTGGGAATCACACCTGGGTCCTCTAGAAGAGCAACCAGTGCTCTTAACCATTCACCCATGTTTCCAGCCCCTAAGTGAACACTCTTCATTGCGTTGTGCAGGTCATTTTTAGGGGAGTGGTCTCCTGATGCAGTTGTTCTGATGCTAAGGCACCAGCAGTTTACCCACCATTGCTTTAACGTCATCAGCACAAATGTCAACACAACGAAAAGACACCAATTTCCTAATATTATTGAGAAGACAGTTTTTATTTGGCTAATGATTTGTTTCTCAGCTAGTGTTTTAACTGTTTATTTATTTGAAATATGAAAGGGATTCACAGGCAGGTTTGTTTTTTTTTAAAGTGTCTCCTTATAATGTCTCATCAGATAGCCCAGGTGGCTAGGAACGTGTGACAATGCTCCTGCCACGGTCTCCTGAGTGCTAAGATTCAGACATTTTGCCACTGTACTAGGTCATAGGCAAGTTTTTAAAAGGTAGTCTCATTTCCTTCTAGGTCCTGAGTTTTCCTACTTTGGAACTGTCTGAGCCTGAATAAGTATCCTTGTCAACGACTTCCTTTTTATTCTGTGTTAAAGTAGGCTTTTTTTCCTTTTCTGTTTTTCCCTCCTCCTACCTCTTCTGTGATTGTGTGTGTGTGTGTGTGTGTGTGTGTGTGTACACGTGTGCATATATACAAGTATAAGTCTGTGCATGTAGCGGTATTGTTCCTCAAGTGCTATCCACCTTTATTTTTCAGGCAGGCTCTCTCACTGGCTTGGAGCTTCCTAGTAGTCGAGGCTGGCCAGCCAGAGAACACTACGAATCTGCCTATCTTTTCCTCCTAGTTCTGAAATTACAAGTGCATGCTATCATACCCAACTTCTTTACGTAGGTTCTAGGAATTGAACCAGCCCTGTTGTTGTTGTTGGTGGTGGTGGTGGGGTGTGTGTGTGTGTGCATTTTTAATTTTCAATTTATTTTTGAAGTAGAGTATCACTGTGTAACCCAGGCTGACTTCAGTCTTGAGCTCTTGCTTCCTTAGACCCCCAAATGCTGGCGTTACAGGTATGTCCCACCTTGCCTGGCTCAACCAGATTTTATTGTGATTATTTCTTTTAGGCTTATTAAAGATTTAAAAGACTTTACTAAAAAAGTTTCTGTGTTTCCCCCTAGTTGCTGGTGTGAAGGCAGAGAACAATATCTGTCTGCAACTACAAATATACTTTCCCATATCATTTGAAGCCATTTAGAAAACCATGTAAGCTGGGCGGTGGTGGTGTACACCTTTAATCCCAGCACTGGGGAGGCAGAGGCAGGCGGATCTCTGTGAGTTCGAGGCCAGTCTGGGCTAAGGAGTGAGTTCCAGGAAAGGCACAAAGCTACACAGAGAAACCTTGTCTCGAAAAAAAAAGAAAACCATGTAAAACATTTCTAACACACTTTCCTTTGTATAACAAAATGCTACAGTAGCTTCCATTTACAGCACTATAGAAATCACCATTATTACTCGTAGTACTGTAAATAATATCTAATAGTGTTTCTAAGTTTGGAAGTCATTCTTTAGACACCCACTAGGAAAAGTAAATAATGCATGGTAGCTGCTGGCCACTATCATTGTCCAGAGCACTGTCTGGTGTGTCATAGAACTCAGTAAGTACTTGCTGAATGAATCAATGGGCTTTTCTTTTCAGGCCTGTATTGATGAAAATTTGGACATGGTGAAGTTTCTAGTGGAGAACAGAGCCAATGTAAACCATCAAGACAACGAGGGCTGGACTCCCCTTCATGCAGCAGCTTCCTGTGGTTACCTCAACATAGCGGAGTGAGTGAGCGTCTGTCGTGGGTTTGGTGCAAACTCCTCCTCTGCTGACCAGAAATTGAGTTGTACAAATAGTTATAACCTCTCTAAATGACAGACGCAGAAAATTGGCCGTTAAGAGCTGGCTGACACAGTGCTTTGCATCCTTGCTAAGTGCACAGTTCCTACCTCCAATTTCGCTTGCTTCTGTCTTTGTGTATTTTGTATTTGCTGGACTTTCAGAGGCAGCATCAGCTGGTGAGCTGTCTGACTAATTTCTGAATAGCAGAACACAAACATGTGAGTTGTAGGTTTTTTCCTTTGGACTTCTCTATAAACCTGTTTTGTTTGTTTTTATAAATATTACTGCAGTCAATAGCAAATGATGAACCAGAGCACATAGGACCCAGGTAAGGTAGTGATTGGCATGTGTTCTCTACATTGGTTGAATGGCTATGTTTAATATATTAGTAGCTGCTGACCTCCATGGGGGCAGATTGCCCTCTCTAGGGTAGAAGAATCCTGATCACATGGTACCTACTACATGAGAAGAACAAAATAAGTCTCTGTTATATGAAAGAATGATCAGGAATTTTATTTCTAGTTAGGAAAGAAACTTTGGCAGTTAAAACATCTTTAAAATTTGCAGGGCAAATTTAGATTGATAAAGTAAATCTAATCAGGATAGTATATGGTCTTTTGAAAATCAGATTGATTAAGTCCCTTTCAATGATATGATTGAGGCTAGCACATTTTTTTTTCTTACTCAGCAAACAGCAAGCTGTCATGTAGAACTGTACTTGCACAGGTTTCCTGGAGCAAAACTGAGAGTTTCCTTGAGGCATGGATTCTCAGCTGGACAAGAATCAGAGTAGAGACACAAGAGGTGTCGGACAGGGCTGTTGTTTAGGTGTAGATACCTGGAGTGGTCCAAAGCCAAGACCACTGGGTAGCAGAGTTTTCTTTGTTCTCCACTCCTCTCCCTGTTCTAGGTTAGTAAAGATCTATAACTCCTTCACCACCTAGGCTGCCTCCATTCCAGGCTCATAGAAAAGGCTCTGATTTTCAGTGGTACTCACCAATGTCAGTGTTCTGATGCATAGGAGTTAAGATGAGTTCTTCCTCCATTTTGGACTTACAACATTTATTTAAGAAATGTAAGGCATATCGGCTTCTCATTATTCCTACTTAAGTATGAGTTCAGGTGGAATGTTTGTGATTGAGCTATAAAATCTTGTTACATTCCAGAATTTAATTTTTTACCCATTTTTTTTCTAAATTATATAAGGCCAGCTGAGTCTTAAAATTAGAGTAATAGGTGCTGTTATCTTTCTGGGAAGCTGAATACAAAGAATTACTGCAATGCCTTTTGTGGTTTCTTTAATTAATTTTTAATGATAAACATAGTTCCTTCAGAAATAAATTTAAAATTAGAAATCCTCTACTCAACCTAATATTACCTTGGATGTAGTAAGTTTATCAGTGACCATAACAACTTATGAATATAAACGTCTAGCCATAGTGAGCTGATCCAGACTGGAATCTACTGCAGATGTGGGGTAGAGGTAGAGATAGCATGCCTTAGTTCACCTTGTAATGTACACATTGTCATTAGATCCATGCTATTTTATTTTATTTTTATGTGCATTGGTGTTTTTGCCATGGGTGTCTAGTCCCCTGGACCTGGAACTACAGATAGGTGTGAGCTACCATGTGGGTGCTGGGAACTCAACCTGGGTCTTCTGGAAGAGAAGTCAGTGCTCTTAACCCCTGAGCCATCTCTCCAGCCCCAGATAAGTTTTTATTTTACTTTCTTTATTTGTAATATTTTTATACAACAGATCATGGAAATAACTTATTTAATTGGGGATTGGAACAGAGTGATGGCTCAGCATTAAGAGTACTGGCTGCTCTTCTAGTACTGGGTTGGATCGGCAGCATTTACATGGTCACCTACAACCCTCTGTTAACTACAACCCTGGGGATCTTTCCCCCCTTCTGGTCTCCAAGGGCTGTGCACAGATGTGGTGCACAGACATTCACTAGGACAAAACACCCATATACACAAAATAATAAAAGTACTTTAAAAAATTAGAGACAGTGTATCACTGTGTAGCTCTGGCTTGCTTACCATGGGCTCCATTAAGCCCAGGCAGCCCTTGAATTTCAATCCTTCGGCCTCAGTAGCCCAAGTGCTGAGGTTACACATGTGTGCCAACTCCACACTGGCATCTGTTTGTGTCTTGAAGAACTTATACCTCAAACTTATTTCTAGGATAATTGGCAGCACTGGACTTCAAGGAAATGGGAATGAAGGACAGAGAAACTGGCTTTCTTCAGGAGAAACCCATGGCCATTCTATTTCATGTTCCTTGCAATCCTTTCTGCCATGCATTTCTCTCTCTCTCTCTCTCTCTCTCTCTCTCTCTCTCTCTCTCTCTCTCT